GGGGGGCAGGGGGCCAAGGGCCTGAGCCGTTCCCTAGGTCTGCCCAGCAATGAATGGGTCACATACTCTCTCTGCACCTGTTTCCATCTGTAAGAGAGGATAGCATGGTAGGGGCAGGACAGGGACAGCTGCTCACCTGGTTGCCCACAATAAAGGCCTGGCCCCCCTGATTCTGGGAGAGCAGGGTCTCAAAAGGCTTCAGTTGCCCCGGCAGCTCCTTCACATAGTCCTCCTTGCCCGCCTCCTGCCAAAAAGACGCCACTGGTATCACCCTCCTGACGCTCACACGGCTGCCCAGCCCGGACATGCCCTTCTGTTGGCCCCACGTGAGAATCACCACCCTCGGGGCCTCACGCTCCTCTGCTGACTCCCGCGCCCGGGCTGTGGCCACAGCCTGTCCGCCTCAGCAACCAACTCTCCCTCTCTACCCCGTGACCTCCCAGCAGGCTCCTGCGGAAGCCTTGAGGATCCATCCTTCCAGACCTCACATTTGGACACCACCCTGCTCAGATGCCTCCACGGCTCCCTCCTGCCGGCAGGAGCGGGTCTAAGCCAGGGGCTTCGGACCTTCGGGCCCTGGGCCTGCTGCCCCTCCGGCCCCACCTCCCGCCCCTCTCCCTCCCTCTCACACACAAGCCCTTCCTCTGCTAAACTGGCCTCGGTCCGCGCCTGCATACTTCGTGCACCTGAAAGTGCCAGCACCCGCTTCCAGGAGCTGGCTGTAGACCCCCCTTCCCCGCCTGCTCCAGGAAGCCCTCCTGGCCGCCCCGGCTCCATGGCTCCTGTCCTTGTTGCTGGTGACTGCCCCCGGCACAGAGCCCGACCCAGCCCAGGCCCGACGGGGAGGGCGCAGCTGGGGCCAGTGAGGGGTGTGGGGTGGTGGGAGTTCAGGGAGCCCCTTCCCTCGTGGCCCGCGCTCACGTAGTTGGTGTAGATGAGGGTGCAGTACTTGCGGCGGAGGTCCTCCACGCCCTCGTTCACCACGTCCACCAGGGCGGCCTCCCGCTGGTCCTTCCCGTACAGCCCTGGGGGCCGGGGCGGGAGGGGAGACAGCAAGACCCTGGGCTGAGCTACTCACGGCCACGTGGCCGCCTGTGGGCCACGGCCAGGGAGGGGGGCACGGGCCGGAGGCAGGGGCAGTGCTGACCCACGGTGGGCGCTCGGAACCCGGTGGGAGGCAGCCTGGCCTGGCGCAGGGGTTGCAGGCGACCTGGGCTTGACCTTGGGCAACTAATGCATTTCACCTCCAGGCGCCTGCGTTTCCTCCGCGGGCCGGCGTGCTGGGCAGAGCAGGGCCCACCCCACCCCTGGACTTCACCACCTGCACCCTCAGCTCTCACCTAGGGAGCGGCCCAGGTGGCGCAGGATGGCATTGGACTGGTACAGGGTCAGGTCTCCGTCCTGGAACTTGGGGAGTTGTCCGTACAGCTGGGGGTGGCACAGCTCGGTCAAAGGTGCTCAGCCTGGCTGCCCCCCCCCACCTTTGCCCTCAGGGCCCAGCCCCTGAACCCTGCTGCACAGGCGCTTACACACGAGGCCTTGAGAGAGCCCTGCAGCCAGGTGTCCAGGGTGACCACCTCCTCCTTCCAGCTCTGGCCCTGGTCGGCCAGCAGCATGCGCATGGCCTCGCAGCGCCCTGGGGAGGGGAGACGGGAGCGGGGGCGCAGAGGCCCCAGCCTCTCAGGGCCCTGGCAGGGGCCTCCGACGACTCAGCACGCGGGGGAGGGGTCGGGTCCCGGGAGGTTGGAGACTCCAGCCTAGCGAGCTCAGGGCACGGAAAGGTCCGGGCTAGTGGCCACGTAAGCGGGGTTTGGGGCCCCCCCGGGTCGGTAAGCGGCCATGGCTGCAGCCCCCCTCCCGCGCAGCCCCAGGCCCCTACCTCGAGCATGGAAGTAGGTTATGGTGTAAGGCGCCACTGCAGGGGACAGAAAAGCCTGTTAGAGCCCTCAGGAAGGTGCTGTGAGGGGCAGTGCCCCCCCGGGGCCCCGCCCCCCGCTCTG